GGAATCTTGTTTAGAAGTACCTAACGGTACAGCTGCAGTTGATTTTGGGCTGGAGATTGTAACACCTTTGCTGGAGTGTTTGATGTTATTAACCTCTCCATCCCTCTCCCTCATAGGAGGCTTCTTACTGGCTTCCCCATCCTTAATCTTGCCTTGCTTTATGGCCGACTCAATCATTTCTCCGGCCATAACCAAGTCTGAAAAGCTTCCTGATGTGATCGCCACCAGATGCCCGAAGTATGGAGCCTTCAGAGTCTGCACGAAAAGTTTCCGAGTTTCCTTTTCATCTAACGGTGGATGAACTTGCACAGCCAAGTCCCTCCATTTTTGTGCGTACTGCCTGAAACTCTCGTTATGCTTCTTTTCCATGTTTTGTAGCATAACTCGATCTGGCCTTATGTCATTGTTATGCTTGTATTGTTCCAGAAATGACTTGGCCAGGTCCTTCCAGGTCTTGATATTTGATCGGCTTAGCTGGTTGTACCACCGAATGGCTGAGCCCGACAGACTATCCTGAAAGCAGTGGATCAGAAGTTGGTCGTTTCCTCCATATCCTGTCATCTTTCGGCAGAACATGGTGATGTGAGTGGATGGGCAACTATTCCCGTCAAACTTCTCGAACTCCGGGGACTTAAATTTCGGGGGAAGAACCAAGTCCGGGACTAGACTAAGTTCCGCTGCATCGATTTCATGGTAGTCACGGTCTCCTTTGACTATATTCATTTGGTCCTCCAATTGTTTGATTTTTTTCTCCATCTTCCTCGCTTTTACCTCTTCGTCCAAATCCGGTACATGGTAATAACCCGGATTGTTCTTAGGGTTGAATACAGAGGACGAGGGCTTTGCTTTTGCAGCAGATGAGTCCCCTCGAAGTTCTGGTAAGATTTCAGGTGAGATAACCACCTGTGGGGTAGGTTGTATAGTTACCCCTTCCGATGAACCTGCCCCAGGCGCACTGGTCTGTTGTAAGCCAACTAACTTGGCAACGATCTGATCAACCAAGGACTCTTGGTTCTTTGTGATTGTTTCCAGAGTATTTCGACTGTTCTGGTTTATTTTGTCTTCTAGCTCCTTTTGTAGTTTTACCATATTCTCCTCGATTTGTGTAATTCTGGCTTCCATCCTCTTCTTCTTCAAACGAGTGTTATGTGGATGGGGTGTGTCCAATACTTGAGGCGGTGTATCCAGTATTTACTCCTTTCTGATGAGACATGTATAGATTAGTTAATGTGAATGTAAAGAAATGAACAAAATGCAAAATGTTTAAATGCATGATGCATGAAATGTCCGAGGCATTGATCCGAAAAATGTGCCTATTATTCTGAATAATCCTTACTGGGGACAAAAATGTTACGTCTGAAGAGACAAAAAAACTTTTTGATGGTATAGATCCCGCAGTCTCTGGAAAGTTGATTCGTCTTCCGTTTTTTCATCGGTTGAATATCCTGTCGAACTATTCCGACTCCTTTGGCTAAACTTGTGCGGGTGATTAGTTGCTTGCCCCAAAAAATGTCTCGAATAACTGCATCTCCCGCCTTCACTCTATGCCGAGCTCGTTCCAAACGAAAGTGCCATTGGAGCCCTCCATCCGAAGTTTGTCGACTTATTTTTGGAATTCATCAATAATGGTCTCCAGCTTAGCTAGGGTTTCACCATCTTGTTCTCGTAATTATCGAAAGGACTCTCCGGGTCAATAACTATTTCCTCGTCTTGCCCCTGAAACCTTTGCCTCTAAGTATTCTTTGATACCGGTTGGACTTCTGAGCTTTTTATCTCTTTGTATTATAACCCCTTTGTCCATTAATACAGATTATTCATGTTTTAACAAACACATTTTTTTGTGGATCAACACCTCGTTTTAATGATGTGAATGATATAAAAAATGCAAAAGAACAAAAATGAAAGGAGAAAAAAGGTTAGTGAGATAAGGATAATAAAAAAAGATGAAAATGAAAAGTCCTACCCCACATGATATCTATCCCGCATGCTAATTTCAAACAAATCCTAACCGCATATTTGTCTAGTTCGCATGCTTTGAACAGAAAGTAAAGCAGGAAATAATTCCGGCATCCTAGGGTTTGAAATGAGGTTTTGGGGTGGGCTCTAATTCCCTGTACTCTCCCGGTTTAGGTTCTAAAAAACGGTACTCGAGTTCTCCTTGCCGGTGCCCCCTTGGGCTTGCCAGACCCTTAGTCCTAAGCCCATTATAAGCTTGTGTGGACTAAGTTAAACTCGAGAGGAAACATTCCCTTATGCCCATACGGAGAATAAATTCACACGAAGACATAAGGTATATGAATCCCGAAGGCTACTTGCTAGGCCCGCACGGTGAATAAATTCACACGAAGGCGTCGCTTTCACCCCCACTTAAATAGGGTTTGGAGCTCGGGTATAGAGCCTGAGATGAAAACTTTGAAAAATCTGAAATCATTAAAAAATGTTAGTACAACTATTTATTTGAAAAAAAATAATCAAAGGTAAATAATTCGAATCGAATAAATAAATTAAAATTTAAATTTACCATTTTCGCATAAAAAGACAACCAAAAATTAATTCTGGCCTGACTCACTTACCTATCCCCAGCAGAGTCGCCAAGCTGTCGCAACCGTCTTTCGGTTGGGCCCCGGAATTGGGCTTCGACTTGGATTAATTGTGGATTGGAGTCGCCACCGACCACTTTAAAACGAATTTAGGTAGGCCGGACACCATCTTACCTGATCTGCGTTATACCAGAAATGTGTCGGGTTCGGGAGTCGATTACGGTCAAGGAAGGATTAGCACCCTTGAACCGTCCTTTCGGTACCAATTAATTTGTCGGTTGCCTTTAATTGCGAAAATTAGAAAAATTAAAATTATTCGATCCGAATTACTTACCATTTGATTGGCTGAAATCATGACTGAAACAAAATATGTTAGATAAAAAGCGACAACAAAATGTTAAATAATAAAAAAAATATAAAAAATAATAATAATAATGAAAGAAAGAAATAATAAAATAATAATAAAAGGTTAAATTAAAAAAATATTTAAAAAGTAAAATGAAAAATAAAGATAAAACTTAGGATCAAATTGGAACAAATTGAACTTAATGAATTAGAAAATGAACTGCAAAAGAACAAATAAAAAGTTATGGGACCAATTCACAGAATATAAAAAATATAAATAGGGACCAAATTGGTTAAATCAGAAATATGGGGGCTAATTTACAGGTAGTGACCAAATTGAACTGCGACTCAAAATACCAGGGACTGCGGAGAGGATTTAAAAATCTTCTATTTGCAGATCAATCCTTCGTAAAACGACGCCGTTTTGATTTTCATATTTAAAGCCGAAAATAGGGTTTTATTTCTTCATTCCTCTCATTTGGTCACTTTTCCTTCTCTCTCCGCGCTCTCTCTCGTCTCTCAAACTCTCTCAAATGAGAGATATCAGGCCACAGCTCCGGTGGTCTCCCCGTCGCACCGGCCACCATGCCGGCCACCGCCGGCGGTGGCCGAAAAAAACATTTAGCCCGAGACACTCGCCTTGTCACTCTAAACCCCGATCCGAAACCCGTTTCCCCTAAAGGGACCCCAAACGGCGTAGATCTAAAGTGCAAGTTTCGGTTTTTTACCCCTCTCGCCGGTGTCCCTTCGTTTCACAAGGCCTTTGGCTTTGTGGTTTCTCTACGTGCTTGTTTTGGTTTGTTTACTGAGGGGCTTCGGCCTTTGGCTTGTATTTTTGTGATGATTTTTGTCTGTTGTTGATGGTCTTTTTGTTCGGTTGTGGCTCGATGATGCTTCTATTTTTATGGTCGTTGGTCTCTCGGTGTGGTACTGAGATGTTTTCGTGTTTTGTTCTCTCGATGGGTTTTTCGTTTCTAGGCTTCTGGGTTTACGGTTCTTTTTTGATGTGTGTCTGTCCCCCCCCCCTGATGGCCGTGGTGGGATATTTATACCCACCCCACCGGGGGTCTGCTCCGATGATAACGGTAACGTGCTCGTGGTTAGTTGGCCGGGGATTTCGGGATGGGTCAGTCCCGATCTCCTCGGCCGGAAATCTCGGCGGCCGGTGTGACTGACCCTTGACCTCCTTGGCTTACGCGGCGCCTGTTTGAACATACGTTGGAAACCCTAGCATGGAATCCGGGCTGGGTCAGGCCCGTTCGGTGGACTAGACTTGGACTGTTATTGGACATGGACCCTGCACAAAAATAAATGAAAAATAAATTAATTAAAAATAAATAATAATAATATATATATATAAACGTTTTCAAAAACATATAATATATAAATTTTTAAAATGTTTTTTTTTAAAAAAAAAAAACTATATATTATATATATTTTCAAAATGGTTTTTTAAAAATTATATATTATATAAATGTTTTCATAACGTTTTCAAAAGTATATATTATATATATATTTTAAAAACGTTTTCAAAAACTATATATTATATAATTTTCAAAAATATTTTAAAAACTATATAATATACATATTTTCAAAAATATTTTAAACTATATATTATATATGTATTTTCAAAAACAATTTGCAAACTGTATAATATATATGTGCATATATGTATAAAATAAAAAAATATGGACGGAAATTAGTGTCTACAACATGCAAACCAGAAAGAATGCCTCATGAGAGGAAAAAACCCATCAGAATCGAAATGGATAGATATGAACCACATCTGAACAACAGAACCAATCAAAAACACAATATTAGTTACAAGTAATTCTTTATGTTCAGGAATTTCCATGATCTGTGTGTAGACCAGATAGAATTTACCCTTATAAATAGTTCACTTTTACGTTCAGTCGAACCCCATTTATCACTCTGCAGCATCAGTTAATTAAAAGTTAACAAAAGCTCCTGAGATCAGACCATGAATAGACATCATTTTAAAATGAGGCAACTATAGTTTCCTTTCAAGATTGGCATGCATGTATTAAAATCGTTGATATGCTTGAATTTACCATGCATGTCCTAAAAATAAGAACTTGATATGCTTGAATTTACCATGCATCCAAGGCTGACTGCAAAAAGGGTTCATCAGAATGCAATTCTGGATTCACCAGAGAACCACTATTAGTTGCTTCACCAGCTAAATCTTCTTGATCAGAAAGTGATGTCGCAATCGAAAGCACCAATACCGGTCTCGACAATGTCTGGAACAATGCCAACCATTTGTTCAAACGAAGCCCTTTATGATGACGAACAATTCCACCAAGCAATTAATTGGAAATGCAAATTTGTACGAATTTATTAAAGAACAAACCTCCATTCCTTTGAGCAAACCCTTAAAGGGAACCCATTCTGAACACAAATAAAGGGAGTATAGCAAATAACTTGCAGAGCCTGAAGCCCGCGCCATAAAGAGGGACAGTTGGCCTTTGCGACCCTTCTAACCGTTTCTAATGCAACAACTTTGAGCAAAAATATTGCAGCATGACCTGCTGCATCCTTAACATTTCCACGATTCCTTACGGCAGTTTTTTGCCTGTAACTACTCCTGGAAACTAGTGAATTTCCCTCATAACCTATTTTCTCTCCCATGAGAACAAAATTGAGAAAACCTATGAAAATTTCCACATTGTCAATTAATAAGATCAAAGTGACAGTTTTAACGGCAATTTATTTATTTCGAAGGAGACGCAGTGGAAGTGAATGGTTGCGTTGGGTAGGAATATTAGGCCAAAGAAGGCTCAGCTACGTGACGCGTGGAATGTATTTATATAAATAGTCAAATGGGGGAGCGGTTCATTAGTTAGTGATAATGGCAAATTCATGGACTTTATTAGTTAGTCTTAACTGCTACCGTAGAAAAATATTATATCACAATAACGTTTGCCAACAAAAAGTAAACGCTTTCGAATACGAGAGTTATTACAATTACTCCAACCAAAAGCTAAAACGGAGAATTTCATTCAAGAAAGGGGTAAAGTGTGGGGATTTCAGATGGCATTCTACAAGGACACTTACGCCATATCCCCACACAATCAATTGAAAGCATTCCCTGGGTACACACACTGTAGAGAAGAAGAAAAAAACATCATAACATTTCTTGTGACCGTCTTACACAACGGCTAACTTTCTTCCTGAATTCATCTCTCGTCTCTCTCCATTCTTTCTGTGAATATACACAAAGAAGTCGCGGTTTAGTTCTTTGGTTCATATAACAAAGGGCAAAGTTGCACCAGAAGGGAAATATATGAATCGAAACAATCACTTACTGCAGCTTCAACATTTGCAGGAGATTCGTCGTTAGGGCTGGAAAGCATTGATATGATACTCAAAACAATGCTTTCAACCTGCCAAATAGCATGTGAATTTTTCAAGAGAGTGGAAAACAATAATTTCCAAAACAAAAGGTTCTAATGACACCTCAACCAAGCTAAGCCTTTATCTGAAACCAATTATGTTACTGCACATGAACTTTTTCTCCATGTCATCCTTATGGGGAATTTAAGGTACTCACACAATTTACAAGTTACCCAATGGTTTTCATCATCCTTCTTTAGTGCTTTTCTTTCAGATATCTTCCACCTTTAACATAGTTCTTATACAACAAAATACATCATTTTCAACCTTCACACTAGTAAGAATAGATCATTTAGTATCAACATTTAGATTCATATAGAACTTCGGTTTCTACTTACATACATATCTCTTACAACGAATATGAATGTTATTAGCACATGAGCAATCATAAACAAAAGAAATTTCAAAAATATATTACACTTCATAAACATACCGTATGGACTGGCATCCAGCGCTCACTTGCAAGCTCATACCCATTTGGATCATCACCGGGAGGATGAAGTATTGATATGCAGACACGCCCGTCGGTATAAACTGAAATACACATAAAGATAGAACTAATTCTTGCATCATATAAAGGCAAGTAAGAAATTGAGTAAACAAAAGGTATACCATTAGGATGCCAGATCTCTGATGTAAATTTCACCGTTGGAGGGCTGTTTGGATAATTATGTGGAAAACTCATTATGGCATTGAAAAATCCCCCTTCACTAAAAAATAGATTATTTATATTAAGCAACATTATCAGTAAAAATCAGAAAACAAGTCCCCCAGATGAGAGATTAGCAACACAGAAAAAGAAAATCAACGGAGCTCAATTCAATGTCAAGATTACTGAAGACCAATAATACTAAACGGAGAATAAGCAACAGGAAGGTCCAATGATCGTAACACTTCATTTAAAGGTCATAACATCAGTTCATGATCCGATGTCAAACAAACAAAACCCACATCAAAGAATCCACAAGAAACACTATATTCCAATTAAAGTAGCAAACTTTAACAAGAAAAAGAAAAACAAAGGAACTTACTAGAGAGTATCAGGAGGTCCAATAATTGTAACACTCCATTCAAAGATATTGCTCTCATCAACCAACCCAGCTGAGAACCCATCAACCGGATTCTTGCAAAGATCTGCAAAAAGATCGATCGGAACCCGATTAAAAAAATCTTACCAAAACCCCACAAAAGGAACTCGTATATTATACGTATTCATTAAATTGAAAACGATGGAAGAAAATAGTACCTTTGAGCTGCTTCTGAAGGAGGAGGCTGGCCTGAGATGCCATGTAAAAATACAGAGAGAGAGAGAGAGAGAGAGAGAGAGCTGCAAAACAACTCTTCGAATTCAAGAAAGGGAAAGCAAAGAGAAAATTAAAAGCAGTCACTTCGTTTCTCTTTATAGATAGAGATTTCGGCGATACTGGACTTAAATATTGCGCACAGGAGAGCAAGGATTAGGTACGGTTTGATTTGTTTCCACATTCGTTTTGGCGCGAATCAAAAGTTGCCACGTAAGAGTTCTGTCAGGAGTGTGGTTGGGTAAATATAACTTTTGGTAATTAATTTCGGTATTTGTGCAATTTGGTAATTAAGTTTTTGTTGGTGATAGTAGGTATTTAATTTTTTTTAATTAATCACTAGTATCCGATTTATTGACCGACTAATCTAGGTCTGGTACTTCAGAGGCAAGGGCGACCCTCCTAACCCAGTTTACTCCATTCGAAAACGTCAGGATTCAAACATGACTTTACTTAACGGATCTAGTACATCATCTCACTATATTAATTAGTTGTTAATATTTAACTTCTTTTTTTAATTATGCAACTAGGTTCTTAAACTTTGTGGTGGTGGGGAGGGGGTGCGATCAGGGATGGCAACAATCCGAATTATCATCGGATTTTTGGTTAATTAGACCAAAAAATATATATCATCCATTCGAATTTTATTTGATCCAAAAAATTTATATATTACATTTGATCGGACTCGAAAAATATATGTACTCCACCCGACTCTGACTCGATCATATATAAATTAAGGATTTAATTAAAAATAATAATAATTTTTTAAATAAATTATATTATTATCCTCGAGTCGGGTCGAAGTTTTTTACCCTCCACCCGAAACTGACCCGACCCGAATTCATCGCTTAAAAAATACAACCAGACTCGAATTTGATATTTTTTTTAAAAAATTCGATCCGATCATATTGAAACCCTTCGGATGCGAGTGAAATTACTATCCCTAAGTGTGATTAGGTATTCAAGCCATCTAACATATTTTAATACACACGTTCACATATCTTAGCTTAAACTTTAATACGCGTAAATCAAGCCACCTCGGTTGTAAAAAGAATTGTTGTTATTTTTAAAAATTTTAGATTCAAACAACAAATATTAATTTGTATTTATCTAAATTAATAAAAAAAACTTTAACTATTAACTTTTAAATATGTTTAAATTATAAATATAGAATCAAAATTTTAAATAATAATTGTAATATCCATAATGAATCAAAATTTAAAAAAAAAATAATGAACACATTTCTTTTAGAATCATGTCGTAATGTTCATGATATCCATAATTGTAATATCTCACCTGCAATTGAAACCGTAATGGTAATTTAATACGAAAATCGCAACGTGGAAGTAACTGTCATCGTCAAAGTTCATTTTAACCAAGCTCGCCGGGAGTTCATGGATTTTAGGGTTTAGTTTACCGGCAAGATCCCTTTCGCCCTGACAGTTACAACCGAAACAAAGGAGCAATCAGTTCACATTTTGTGTATATAAAACCCTTTCTCCTTCCATGAAGCTTGAATCCACTTCACAGCTCACAATCAAGAAATCTCTAAACAATCCAACTATATCATTTACCCAATTTCTTTCTTCCATTCCAATGGGGGAGAGGCCTCCAAACACCATCAGATTTCCGAGGAATACTCCAACTGGTTTCCTCTTATGCATCCATTGCAGAACTCACCTCGCCCCTCTTTACGACTGCCTTGGCTCTGTATGTATCTATTGTCTTTGTATTTACTTACTGCCTTGTCAATTCTTGTAGGATATATACTTACTTTGAACCAAAATTTCAGATAGAATGGCCGACCCCGGCCAATGGAGTTATCTTCCGTAGCGCGTAAGATACCTCTCATCTACATTTCATTGTGTGATAAAGTAGAATCGTTATAATTTAATCTTTGTGCTTCGTTGACTATACAGCGTCAATGTGCGGGCCGATCGCTTTGGTTTGTTTCGCCATAATATTCCAATGGTGTATGTCCGTTGCAATGGCTGCAACAGAATCATCGGCGAGAAGATTGTAAGTTCTTTTTTTTTGGGGGGGGGGGTTTCGATGATTGTTTACAAACACTATCTGATCCGCCTAATGGTTCCAGGGTGTCCGTGATCCGCCTGCCAACCGTGTATATGAAGGGAATTACATATTTCATTTGTAAGTTGTTTTCTTTCCAACAGTGAATCATATATTCCGGAATTGGGTTTTGAACGAGAATGGTGGCTGCAGGGACCATGTACTGCGTTGGGATGGATACGATTTGCGTGATCCTATCACAAGCGACCTAGTACTCGACAACGATGGAATCCCTTAACTCAAAGCTCACCAAGAATGCAATTTCTACTAGTAAAAATCCAGTTTTGTTGCATTTGTTCTTCATTTTAGGATTCTCTGAATACCGTAAATGTGTGGATATTGTCGTTGGTAATAGTGGCTGTTGGCTCTGGTAGTTTGTGAGAGATTGTTCAGCTAAAACAGGGATCTTGTAGCCAAAGCCAATATTTTGCGCAGGGAAACTATTAGACTTGCTGTTCAACGCCATTGATTCTTCAATCCAACTTACAAACATGCATAATACATACACCACATATTACATATAATTAAAGTTCATGTTGTTGGTAACAGTCATGCATAAGCGGTGGGCTATCATGTTAGAATTTTTTAATCTTGACAATCTTGTACATAATCCCCCAGCACTTTTCACAAACATTCTTAAATCTATTTTCAAGTTTGGTTATGATTACAGAAAATGTACCGTTAAAATGCTCCTCCATTCTTGTAAGAGTCCCATAAATAGACTAAAGCAAGCAACGGATACAACCACCTAGATAAGATAAGAGGGCAAGTTCTAATCTACGTTCTTCTACTAGCATGGCTCCTTGTAGATCCTCAACTCCCAGGGCTACCAAATCAATGTTCAAGTCATTGAATCGGGCAATCTTACATTATCTCTTTTAGCATTCGACGCATACCACGCAACTACATCAAGCAGGCTTTCCGTATTTTTCTAGCTTCTAAATTGTAACGAATTTATGTTTTTCCTTTAGTGCCAACAGTTGACTTCACGTTCAGATCTCGAGTTCAAGTGAGACATGTATTACCTGCATGGGTAAGCACTGTGTTGTCTCTTTAAGATTAAAACTAGTATAATGAAACCCATTCACGAAAAAGTCTCCTTACTACTGTAATAAAATGATGGAAAAGCAGGTTAAAATGAGGAGGGTTCATAACTCCCAATCTGGACCGAACCCATTAGAAAATCAACGACCACAACGATGGATGCAACAGCCAATGTGGGAGATAGGATAAGGTGACACCAATTGGATTGGAGGTCAGATATGTCTTTGTAGGAAAAGAATTTTAATTTTAAAGATACATATGAAAAAGCAAGTATTGGTGTACTATTATATGCTTCTATCACAAATGTTTAACACTGCAAGATTCCTATCACAAATGTTTCCAGGGATGAGGCTTGAAATACTTAAGCTAGCTCGACATACCAAAAGATAAAAATGTCAGATTAGTAGTTCACAATTGAGTAACGACTGAAATAAGAAAAATATAGGCCTTTTGGAGCATGGACGTGGTGGTTTTTTAATCAGAGTTGTTTTCATGATTTTACAAAACATCTTGAATGAGCCAACATCAAAATTGCCACTAAATTAAAAATAATACACTTCTTCAGATATACACAACTCACTACAATCTTCTCATACAGCACGCTTCCGCTTAGTTCTCTTGCTTCGTCTTGGCTGCGAAATATTAGGAAATTGTTTGCTTTCATTGGAAGCATATGCTTCTTCAAGTCTCTCACCATCCTGTTAGAAACTTGAAATTAGTTGTTGGTTTAACAAGCGAAATGTGGTCAAGTTTCAGATTTGCAGGCAGTAATTGGCACAACTTCAAATGGTAAAATATTAGGAAATCATCACACCAACACATCAAATTATCAGCCTCCGACCTAAAAGCCTAAAATAAAGTTTATGTTTATCAACATAGAAAAAGGCAAACCTCGCATACCTGTATAGATTTGTTACTACTGAAATAGGTAATGCAATTTTACATATATTCTTCTAGAACAAGAGAATGGCCAGTGCTGTTTTAGAGTTAACCACAGTCGAATAGACTTCATTTATGCATATAGACAAGACAGGTGTGGTTGTAGCTGATGTCCCACTCATGTTACTAACTAATCCTCCCCATGTTAATAGCATGCACTAACTTACAAAAGAAAATGTTTGATTTTATTGCATAGTTCAATCAATATTGGATTTTGCAGCAGTGGAACCCACCTACAGACACCATAAAGTCAAAACTTTGTGCGTGTAATCATGCTTCCATAAACACGCAGTCACAGATTAATTTCGTCTCTTCCTAAAGATGACTAGCTTCTCATGTCATTTTTGCTTCTTTTTTTGCTGCCCTATATGGCAATTTAGAAAATCCATAAATGACAGCTAAAGTAGTACTATCGTCGCTAATGACTTCATAGAATTCAACTTGCAAGGTTAAAACCTTGCAAATGATCCTATAAGAAAATTCTGTTTGACAGCCATCAATCTAAACAAGACATCATTATCTTCTAGAGGGTAATAAAAAACATATGGCAAGTTCAAGAAAGTAGTAATATTCCACCAGCATCCACTGTGCATTGGGCTCTATACCCCCTTTGTTTATTGTGAGAATAAATCTAGAGAAATTCCAAACATGGATTAGAGAGACCTTAAAATGAAAAGAGCAGCCTCTAGTCACTGAAAGTAAAAATTTACCTTGCCCTTTGTCTCATCCTCTGACTCCCCATCAGAATCAGATGCTGAATCTAGAGCCTGAGCCTCATCTGCTGACAGAGCCTTGCTTCCTTTCTTCTTCTTCTTCTCTTCTTCTTTTAATTGCCTGAACCTGTTAATTTCCATTTGTTTTTCAGCATGCTAAATTTGAAGCAAAAACAGAACACTGTTATCATTTAAAAAGCCAGGCACTAACCTATCCCCATGACGTTCTGTCTCAGCAGCTGAACGTTTTGCACGTCCTGCGGTAATAATTCCACTAGCGCTCTCATCAACAACAGGTTTTGCACCACCTAATTTGCGTAACCACACTTGTTGTGCAGTGCTAAGGACATTGTTTGTAAACCTGAAAATGGGCACATCTCAGAAACGACAAACCATATAGCTGAATAGTAAGATGAATTTTTACAGCAAGTTGGGTGTACCACTATTTTGTAAAAGGGAAAAAGGTTATAGTGTTCAAGTAAACAACCTCATCTAGAAGGCTAGAACAATCAACATGTTTATACACATTCAACAGAAAAGACAAACAAGGACAGAATCCACACATATGATGCAGCATAATGTCAAAACAAATGAAGATAGTACATGCGGAGATATAGAGGTTAGTGCTCGAAATTAAATATGGAGGAAATCAAAAGCAATGAAGCTGGGACAATTTATTCTCGTATGCAAAGTCAGTTACGTATCTTATGCAAACATATGCAAATTCAGTCACGTATTTTATGCTAATATATGCAAATTCCAATTGCATATCTACATCCAACCTCAAAAGGAATTATTAACAACAGAAAAATACAAGAAAAAAATGAATTTTGAATTCTCTAATCCTGTTGGAACATACACCATTGTAAAATTAATGATAGTGCAAGTATAAAATGTTTCAGTCATGGTTCAGAATGATGACCATACAAAGCCACTGCATATATTATATGTTTGTGACACAATCAGAAACTAAACTAGAAGCCAAGTGCATATTGCTAAGCCTATTGGTTTCAGTAAAAGTGCTAAAAGAGACCAACCAGTAAATTGATAATCCTGATGGAACAGATAACGAAAAGTAACCAATCATAAGTGGAAGAAACTTGAGAACAAGAAGTGTATTCTTTTGGGCTGGATCCGTCTGTCCAAAAAAAATCGAGATGTTTAAACTATTAACCAAATTAATATGTCAAATCGGAATGAAATGGAAGTAATGAAGGCTGTTCTTCTTACCTGGGGCGGCTTCATCAGCTCCATTGAAACATATTGACTAACAACAAGAAGCACAGGTAGAACAAGGTATGCAGCAGTGTCATGCCAACCCAATGGCGGATGGCCATCCTACATGATCATTGCCCCTCATATGTTAGAGAATAAAATCAGATGTATGAACCAAAGGAAGAACGTGGTTTCTGCACCTGGTCAACAGAAGCTACATCTCAAAACTCTAATTTGCTATTCTTAATCTAATCTCAGCTGTAAAATATAGTTAAGCCATAGCTTCACACAAATTTAGTAGGTATTATAAATTTATAATCATATTTTTTTCATCCATCGAACCAAAGGTAAATATGCTACAAATTATTAGGGTAATTATAAAGGTAAGGTCAATATAATCAATCTTCAAAAATAGTGGTCTCATTCGCACAATTGCTAATAAACAAATCAACACCAATGAGACTAAAATACTTAAATAAGTAACAACAATCAGTCTCTTTAACACCTCTGTAGCATTTAAAAAGAAGATAAAAAAGTAAAATAGAGAGTTGTCACAGACTCACAGACAAGTGTAAGATACAAACAAATAAGGAAATCCAAAATGCTGAAAACTACAAAATAATGAAGAGAATTGTTAACCATCAAAGTTTGGGAGTAAGTTCATTACCACAAATGGAATAAGCCAAGAAATTCCAGACCCGCTTTGTCGAGCAGCAATTGTAGTTGGCCCCCCCAAAGAAGGGATCCAAAAGAAACCTTCCGTCAACAATCCCTTTGAGTAAAAATTTGCAGCAATTAGTAATCAAAGTTTTTTGACATGTGAAAGTGTTCTCCAACATCATTCAGAAATCAGAATGCTACGTCATCCACTTTAGTACCTCATTTGCCACATTTGAAAGAGCTTGATACAGGCCTATCCAGACTGGAATAGTGGCTAAAGTAGGGAAGCAACCTGCAAAGACAAAGATTTAAGATACTGATGAGCATTGTCCTATCTCCTATGAAGCTAATAACTATAAGACTCAAGGCCTACATAAAAATGAAGAGAGGCAAAAGGCCTGAAGAGAAAGAATGGCACGAGAACCATTGCATCATAAATTCATTATTTACTCCCTTTCATAAAATAATACTAACATTTAAGTTCAAGTCAATTGCCATACAACCATCATAAACTCTCTATCATCGGTTTTTATAAGATAAGATACCAACAAAGCAAAAAAAAAAAAGCTTTCAAAAGAAGCTAAATTTAATTAAATTTGGAAGAAAAAACATGAATATCAAGTGGTTAATCAAAAGGATACCTGCCAAAGGATTAACCCCAGCCTGCCTATACAAGCGAGAAGTTTCGAGTTGTATTCTCTCCTAAATAGAATCAAAAGAGAAAAAATGAACCTTTCCAATCAATAAAAAAGTAAGTAATCAAATTCAAACTTCCGTATTACCTGATTTCCAGCGTATCTTTGTTGGATAGCTTTTATTTTTGGTTG